GACCCCAGTGAGACCCCCAACCTGACTTCCCAGAGCTAAAGAATATTTACAGGGGCCTGTGGAGTGTGAGTTAAGAAGAGGGCAGGAGGATTTGTTGCAGCCGTAAAGACAAATAGTTGAAAAAGGACAATTTCTGGGGGGTACTTAACTTTGCACCTACAGAGGGATGCTTAAGTAATTTGAGCTCAGTATCTCACCTGAGCTGGTCTCAACTTGATAAATTTGCCTTATCCTACCCTACCTGGCACATGTATATTTGACCATCTCATGTAGAATTTAATATGTGCCAGGGCCAGGAAGTTTTTACAAAATAATCTTTATTTTGACATATTCAGACTTAGAGGAAAGTTGGAAGAACAGGCCCAAGAATTACTGGCTGTCCCCACTCAGATTTCCCAAATGTCAAGATTTTACAATATCCCCTTTATTCTGTCTTTATCAGAGTAAGTTGCAGACAGAATGGTCCCTTATCCCTAACGACTTCCAAACACACTTCCTAAACACAAGATCTTCATTTACATAACTACAGTACAATTATCAAAATCAGGAAATTAACATTATTACAGTATTGTTATCTAGTGTGCACACTTTAGTTAGATATCACCAATTATCATAATGTCTTTAATAACAAAGGAAAATTCAGGAACATGCGTAGTTTTTGATTGCTGTTTCTTTTCGGGGACCTTTCATCGGGAATATTTTCCAAATCTTTTTATTTCATAAAGAGCTCACACCAGGCATTTTGTAAGGTTTGTCTGCCTTCTCGTGATCAGATTCAGGATATGTGCCTCTGGGCCTGATACTTCTAATGCTCGTTTTATTGAATCCTCAAAATAACTATGGCCATTATTTTTACGGGTGAGAAAAAGGGAAGCGCAGGGAGGCAGTTGACCCACGTCATGCATCATGGAAGTGGCTGGACCAAAATCACACCTCAGGCATCAGCTCCATGGTACTGCACCTCCATCCCTCACCCTCACGAAGGTCTCTTTACAGGGCGGACGTTGGAATTTAGTGTGGTTATTCTGTGCCAAAACATCTCCTAGTGGTATTCATGTTTGGTGTCCAATCTACTCTGAAGACAACCTCACAGAATATATAATGATCCATTATATTTAGAGAAAAGACACCTAAGATTCAAGGCAATTACAGAACTTCCCCAAGGTTGGACATCTAGCCAAGGTTGGCTCTTTAGGATACTAGCTCTGTACACGGCTGTGTGTTAGCATCATCCAGAGAGCTTTCAAAGCACACTTGTGAGCAGACCCCACCCCAGCCAAATTAAATAAAAATCCCTGGAGATGGGGCCAGTATCTATGTCCCTCTTTTTAAAAACACCCCGGTGAAGTCTAATATGCATCAAGATTGTAAACTTTCTGACATTCCTAGTAACTGGAGAGACTTCTTATCAAGTTGGCCAAAGAAATGGATTATTACTACTGTCTTTCCTTTCAGGAAAAGACCAGCTAGGATATCATTTTAAATCAACATCTCCAGGCCATAGCACTAAAACCTCATTTCAGAACCTTTATAATTTGCTTTTTCTATATTCAGGCTACACAAATGAGTCCAAGCCCTGCCACGTCTCCCAGTTCTTCATTTGGTCCCAGAATTTCTCCTGCACGGCTCTATTTCCACCCCCAGACGGTGCCCCTCTGTGAGATCAGAGACCACATCTCATTCCAAGTCTGAATGCCCCTAAGTCAGCTAGAGCAATACTTCACACACAGCAAACACTCAGTAATGTTTGCTAAATAATTTCATTTTAAGGTTCCCTTTTGCCCACTTGTAGCCTTGAGGAGTTTTATTGTACATTACCTTGAACTCAGCATTTTACCCTGAAGGATTCGCATCGAATTTAAGACTGAAGATTTCACTCTGTGCTCTCCTTCCATATCCTTTAGAGCAATAGAAAATAAGATCGGTCTTGCATGAATCCCTAGAGGACCTGCTATCAGCAATTCTGTCTCTTAAGATATATCTTTTTATCCCTCATCTTTGTCTTATTTCTGAACAAGCTCTTCCTAAGTTTTAAACAGAAAATGTAAAGATCTTTGAGGTATAACCTTGTAACAGGCTTATTGTGGGACTTTAAAACTATCAGGTCCTTCTTAGCCACAAACTAACTTATCCCCCACCTCTATAACACTCTGGTGGGTTAACCAGTCTTTCCTCAAATAATTTCATCTCTTCCTTTGCCATGTTAGACAGGTTCTTGGCTCACCTGTTTAACATGGCCAAAGGTTCCTCTAGAACATTTCTTATGATGAGACTCATCCTAGCTGATCGCCACCCCAGGATGTAGTGAGAGGAAAAATGTTTGCACATTGGGTCTCAGGTCTGGCGCTTCCCCCGGGATGCCTTCCAGCTCCTGGGAAGCAGACGGCTGAGTCTGGTGACTTATTTATACCTAGTTTGTCAATCAGGCCCAGTGTATGCTGTTTAGTTACCACCTTTTGGTCTAATTAATTCTAACTTCTCTGTTTGGAAGGGCAGTTTTGCAGCAGGAATCTCCCCCAGGCCCTCCTGAGTAGAGAGCCAATAATACATTAACTTTCCTCATTACCTTTGTGCCTAGAATTTAAGGGCAAGGCTTTATTCTCTAGCCAGAGGGCTGCCATTGATGACACAACAAATTTTTAATTTTTGAAGTCCATAAATTCCTTAAAATATTTATTAAAATTATTTTTTGCTTGATTGCATGTTTGTCTTTACACATGGCTTAGTTTAGCGCCCCCTCCCCACCCGGCTCCCGACTTCATTGAGGACATCTTTCCATATTTCTAGCATTGCTTTATTTCCTTCTCTGACTTCCTTAGTCTTCCAGTTAATGGAGGAAAACATTTCCAGAACTGGTCGTTCATAGACATTTCATTAAAAAAAAATGAAGTTAACATTAAAATAAGCTTGAGCATACATCTGCTGGGTTAAACACAGCGAAGCTTTCTCAAGGGATACTTCCCAAAGCCTGGAGATGCTGACATGCTTTGTGAGCCTCTGAGAAAGAGAAATGGTTTAATATTTCCCCAACTTTTCTCATCTTGGAACCCTTCTTCCCCCAGACTTGCTCCAACACAAATCGGGGTTAGGAAGCATTGCACAGGGAGCTACCTTTGAGGAAAGCTGATAGGAGAATGCTAGTTAGAACACATGGACCCTTTGGTCTTGGCATTTACTAACCCAAGATTTCTAATGAGGTATTTCTAAGAAATTGCTGATTTTTTTATTGGCTCTTAAAAACATCTTTTACATTTTAACCAAATAATGCTAAGAAATTGTGCTGTAAATGGTAGGCAGAATAGTACCTTCTTTGCCCACCTTTCCCAAAAAATATACATCATGTGCTAAACCCTGGAACCTATGAATACGTTAGTTACATGTCAAAGAGATACTAAAGCTGGGGATGAAATTAAGGTTGCCAATCAGCTGACTAGGGTTATTATCCCGAGCTGTCTGGGCAGACCCAGTGGAATCACAAGTCTTCTTAAAAGTGGAAGAGGGAGGCAGAAAAGTCAGAGGTCGATGTGGAAAAGTACAGAGGAAAGGTCAGAGAGAAACAATGTTTCTGGCTTTGAGGCTGGAAGGAGGCCCTGAAGCAAGGGGTCCTAATATCCAGTAGGAGCTGGACAGCAAGGACAGGACTGGCCCCTAAAACCTCCAGAAGGGAATTCAGCTCTGCTGGTATCTTGATTTGGCCCAGTAACACCCATTTCAGATTTCTGACCTCCAGAATTTTCAGATAAATATGTATTGTTGCATGCCTAAATTTGGGGTAACTTTTTACAGCAGTCACAGAGAGCTAGTATAGTCCTTGACATGAATTATTATTTGATAAACATCTAACCATCAGAAAATTAAAATTAATGCTGTCTTTTTGAAATTCTTCTCTAGTACTATCTATAGTGCCCTGTGAGCTGGGGCATTACTTAAACATTACAAGCATTTTTTTTGTTGTTGTTGTCATTGTTGTTAAAGGAAAATGAGAAAGATAGTTAATCCTTGAGAGAGTTGGTGTACAATTAAGTCAAGTCATCTTTGAAGCAAGATGGAGAAAATTTTATTCTTTTGGCAGCTAGTAAAATAATCCATAATGGAGAGAGATGCCCTTTGGATATACCTTGATAAGGAAGAGGAAAGAAAATAAATTCAGGGGTGAGGGGTAAAGAGAGACATGTTGGGGGAGAAAGAAAGAAGGATGTTGTGTGCTGGGTGATAAACCAAAGCCTCAGTAGATTATTTCTTGATGCTGGATGAGACTGGATGTTTTGTGAACAGCGGTTAGCAGGCTGACTTCTGCATCTCAGCTGATGGTGGAGGGTTTGGCGAACCAAAGACATCACACATACCTTCAGGAACAGAGGGCTAAGGGGAACCTAAGATGCAAGGCCACAGGAGTATGAGAATCTTGGAGGGCTTTGACTACACTTGGGCCATGGGGGTTCAAAGTGGATGGGAGTTCAAAGGACTTTCAACTAGAGCTTAAGGAGCAGGCTGAGTACCAAGCTGCCGTCTGAGGGAAGTGTACGGGGTTCTAGCAAGGGGCCAGCCACAAATGGCGACTGTTGTGGTCGCTGCTACAAAGTAGTCCGTCCCCATATGTACACTGACACCACACTCCATCTCCAGTCCCCTCCTCAGCATCACATCCCACAGATTCCCTTTCCCAGTGAGTTCTGAAGTCACTTTAATGGGAAGGAGTCCTGTGCAAAATCTGTTTGTTTACGTAAAACCTGTCTGAATAGCTTCACACTCTCCTTGGTTGGTTGAAAGCTCCTGTTATCATTAACAGATAAATCTGGTGTTTTTGAAAGGTAATGAACTTTATTCTGTTGACATGAATGAAACCTTGAGGAGAAGGTCCTGGGAGATAAAATTCCCAGGCTGTGAGCAGTTTCTGCTTCTCTGGCTGCAGACTGGCTCTAATGACTGGGGGAGTAGCCGTGGAGCTGCTTAATGGCCGTGCCGGGGGCCGTGCCGGGCTGGGTCTGCCCGGAGCAGCCCTCCAACGTCTAATCAACAACACTGTGCAGGCACGGGTGATTCGCTGGGCTCCTGGCTCCTCAGAATGTCACGCGAGGCTCAACTGCCTCAGGTCCCTGTGCAAGTAGGCAGGTTGGAATTACAAATAAATACAACAGCAAAAGGTTAGTGTCTATATACTAACTCTTCTCCTTTCTCTGCACTGGGTTGGCTGTACTCTTTGTAGCACACGTGCCATTTCGTACCAAGTTCAAGTATACAAGAAGTCTAATTTAATTAACTTGTCATAACTGACCAATTTCTATTTCGAGCTGACTTTCCCTCAAGATCTCCCTCTAACCTTGTCCTCTGGGTTGGCATCTAGATGGTGAGGTGCCCATAACAGTGCATTATGGGAAGAGGCGTCTGCTTATCGGGTGTTGTCACCGCTACATACTGCCAACCTCTGACCGGCCTTTATTCTTGTCTGGTCTTCCAATATCAGCTGTGCAGGCCCCTGTCACAACAGCAAGGCCCTTCAGGTGTGTGGGTGGTCCGTGCCGTGAGGGCCTGTCTTCCCAGATATTCCCCTGCTCCCTTAAGACACAAGCAAGGATGCTCGGAGGCTGCTTCCGGCTTTGCTGCCCAGGCATCTCACGCTGCAGGCCTCTTCCAGTCCGCCTTGTAACAGTTAGGACTGTAGACTAAATAATACAATCTGATTCTGGTTTGAACAGAAAAAGGAATGTAGCAGAGGTTTAACAGGTCACTAGCAGAATCAGTGGAAACTTGGAGAATGCCATCCCAGAAAATCTGCCAAAACCGAGAATATTGGAGAATTTCATCCCAGAAAATTGGCCAAGGAGAGACAGGACAGCAGGAAGGCCCGAATGGGTTTGGGTGTCCCGTGCTCTTGTATTGGTTACAGAGCGAGATGGTCTCCCACGTTCATTCTCCGTAAAGGGACAGAAGGGACCACTATTCTCCAAAGGTGCACACGAGGGATGGTTTCCCCAAAGTCAGAAGAGGGTCTAAATTCTGGACCCGCAAAATACAGTAAATATCCGTCCTGGGCACCATGCTGGGGTGGGGGGATGATAGCTCAGGAGCTCAAGTGATACGAGCCAAGTGTTGAGCCCTGGGCCCTGGGCCCTCAGGCCGTAAGCCTGAGGGCAGGAGAAAAATTTGTGTGCTGACCTTGGGCCAGTCTCCCTGAGGTGGCTTGGAAGGATCCTATACAAACCCTCATGAGAAGTGAGGGGCATCGTTACTGGCAGAATCACGAAGAGCATGGCTCCGTCCCATAATGCGCAGAGGAATGGGGGCCGCCTATAGCCGTGAATGGGACCAGGAGCAGTACTGGTGGGCTGCGTGGACGGCTGCTGGGGGCCAATGAGTGGGGACGTGTCGCCACAAGGTGCCGATGGTCCAGGACGATGGCCAGAGGCCCCCCCTCCCGCGGCGCTGCAGCGCCTCTCACGTGTGACCCTGGGTTCCAGAAACAGCATGAAGGAAATGAGAGGTCCTGGAGTTTTTGCTCCCTATGGGAAAAGGCATTAAAATTAAAGTCTAGAAGGAAGGAAAAAAGGAGAGAGGGAAGGAGGTTGGGTGGGAGGGAAGGAAGGAAGGAAGATAAAAGAAGGAAAGAGAGAGAGAGGGAGGGAGGAAGAAGTGAGGATGGAAAGAAAAAACATCTGAATTTTTTGCCACTGGAATTTGTGAAGGGAAGGTTATTATTATTTTATATTAAATCATGAATGTGGGAATTTGAAAGGCAGCTGCCTAAAGGAAAAGGGAATTCACGGAATGGAAGACAACAATTTTGTCTCCCCCTCGACTAAGGAAGGAGAATGCATGTGGGGAGGGCGGACGGGGCCAGGAGGGGACAGGGGGACGTTCCCTCCGAGGGAGAGAGGCCGGCTGAGCAGGGCAGAGGGTTTGACTGACAGGGCGGCTGCGCTAAAATGCAGATGGCACCGGCGGTGCACTTCATCAACCTGGAGCTGTGAATTAACCTTTACGAAATGAATGGCTTTTTCAGTGCTGAATAAAAGTCCCAGTGAACCAGGACAGGAAAATGCTGGAAGCGCGCTCTAAATCTGAGTATGATGGTGACCTTTGCATTCTAATCGCTTGCAGCTAACCCAATATGACGTTTGGCATTTTTAACCTTGCGTGTGATAAAATAACACATTTTTAGGGGGAAAATAATAAGCTTTCCCCCAATGAAACTCCATTCCCTGTAGCTGAGTAATATAAAAATAAAGACTATATTTTGCCTATTTGACTTCTACCATGATACAGGTTTTTAACGGGCGAATGGTCCTGGGCTAAGAACAATGGCTTATGTAAAGGGCATTCATTGCCATTGCTTCATCAGAGAGACCAAAGTTTTGTGGTTGGGTAAATTTACCAGTTCTGAGTCATCATTCAAAGCCCAAACAAGAGAACAGGAGGTTAAATGAAGTACGTTGGGAGGAACACTTACCTTGGAAACAGAGCTCCCAGGATCTGGGACTGAACATGCTATTTAGTATCAGTGTGGCTTTAACTTCCCATTTCATCTCCTTTTATCTCTCATTTTATCTTTAACCTCTCATTCTTTAAAACAAAATAGAAATCTTGTCCAAATTGTCCCACAGGTGATCTATTCAGGTCAGCTAGAGAGTGTGTGTTTAAATGCATGCATCACTATCTGGATATAAGGAATTAAACTTAGAATAACTTGGAATTCATGATTTAGTAAAAAGACTGAAGATTGCCATCTTAGCTATGCGTCTTACTAGCTGTGTAAACTCCGAGCCTCACTTTTCACATCATAGAATGGGGTTAATAATTGCTCATGGTAGAGCTGTTGGTAAATATTAGAAATACAGAGATGGGTCTAGTTCCCAAACACACACTTATCACAGCAATGCATAAATATCCTGGAGTTGACCACATACTATTTTTTCTGTTGCATTTTAGGTGTTCCTTCCAGGGCATGATTATGTGCTCAGAGCTGGCCTGGGGGAAGACAAAATTCTCAGGCAAAGACTCTGGAATAAGCTCGGCAACTCAGACAGAAAGGAAGGCTTGTGGGGTGAGCGGAGATGGGTGACCCTTGTGCCCTTAAAGATACATTGTTCATATTTTAGGAGAAGAGCTTACAAGGGAAACATACATGCCGTTTCAAAATCCTTGGTTTGGAAAACCCATGTGCTTTTTTCTTAACACATCTGTTCACTCATTCAGTTCATGTCTCCATCCACGCATTCACTTATTAATCATTCAAAAAGTACTGCAAGCCTTTGGCTTTTATATGAGGAATACTCTCCTTACATCTACCAGGAGGTTGTGGATAGTTTAAAAATACAGGCTAGTAGCTAGAACAAGCCAGATTAATTTACAAATTCAGAGCTTTTAAAAAATTACCAGATGGCTGAGTATGAAAAAAAAAAAGTAAAGAGATACAAGAAACCGAAATGAACTACATTCCATAAGGTAACAAATGCTTCCCGAAGGAGAAGAGATCTGTGGGGCCTTCCCACATTGCCAGTGTGATGAGAAGAGACGTTTCTTTCATAGAAGGGGTGTGGAGAACCCTGGCAGAGCTTTAACAAATTTTAATGGCTGCGTGTGGGCTGGCAGTTCCCAGAAGCCCTAGCCACAGGTTAAATTTTCACACGTGCCCAAACTGAGTGAATGGCAGTATTTGCTAAAAGCTCAGGGCAGGAGAGATGCCATCTCAAGACATTCTAGATCTTCACCAAGCAGAAATGTCCAAGGTTTTTTATGGAGAGAGAAAAGGATACCCAAAAAGAGCCCAAATGTGTAGGAAGAATTAAAAAGCACCAAAAATGGTGAAATGAGGAAAAGTGTAATTGTTTAAGAATATTAAAACACTTTCTATTAAAACTTTATATGCATGTCACACACACATGCACACACACACAGATATATATTTTAAGAGATTATGAACAGTTTAAGATAAACTAAATATCTTGAGTTTAATAGTATATGTAGAGGTAAATTGTAAAGAAAAAATATACATAGGAAAAGAGAAAGAAAATTGAATTAAATTCTTCTAAGATTCTACACTGTTTATGAAATAGTATACTCTTATTCAAAGGTAGACTGTGAAAAGCTAAAGTTGTATATTGTAGTCTCTAAATCAAGCAGTAAAAAATAAAATGACATGAACAGTTATATCTAGAAATTCAATAGAAGAGATAAAGTGAGATAAAAAATATTTGATTGACCCAAGAGAAGGCAGAAAAGAGGGAATAAAAGAACAAAGAATAGGTGGAACAAATATAAATCAAGCACACCAGTTTATCAATGATGTCATTAAATGTAAATGGATTAAATTACAAAGTATGATATAACTATAAACTTCAGTAACAATGAAAATAGCAGCTAATATTTACTGGATGTCTGTCACGTGTCAGACATTCTGTTAATCCGTTTAAATGCTGTATCTTGTTTACGCCTCATGATTAATCTATGGTCTAGGGATTATTTTGCATCAACATTTTGTACATGTGAAAACTCAGAGTGAGTGTAGTCTTTATCCACTATTACACAGCAGAGCCAAGATTCCAACCCAGAAAGTATGATTTCTGAATGTATCCCCCTCAGCTATTCTGAATACGATATTGAAAATAGGCAGCAATGATGATGATGGTACAAAGAGTAATTGCTGCCATCCCAGGGAAAGGAATATATTGCACATGATGACCATTAGTCCAGGGAAAATATTTAGCTTGGAAACCCATCGTAAAAATCTAAATTGTTAAGTATATATATATATATATATATATATATAT